GCAGTGCGTTCTATTCGGCTTGAACAAAAAAAACAAGTTTCCCGGCAATTATCGGACGTGCGAAACGCAAACCGTGCCGCGCCACTCGAAGCCAGCACAACCGCAATTGTTGGCAGGCAACACGGGGAAGGAGCGTGGGAAGCAGTGGTTAGGCAACTATGCGGTGAACCCGGCAGCCCGAGTTGGATTCTAGGCCACGGCTAACATCAGTGGCACGTCATATCCAAACCGGTCCTGGGGACCTGAGAACTAACTTCAATAAGCACTCTGACCGGAGTGGCAACGTACAGTAAAACAAACCCCCCACGACCGACAACACATGGCGAGGCCTCCATCCAGCAGTGAATTGAAAAGGGCTGTGAATTCGTGAGTTTTAATAGGAGGTGGTTTTCTTGCAAACCCTATCTGCTTTCTCCCAACAAAACTGGAAAAAAATACGTCGGGCATTGAGGTCACCGAATACTGGGGCTCTTTTAAAAATGGGAGTAAAAAAAAGCATCTGGCTTCGATGTGTATGGCTTACGTATTCAATTGCCTATGATGTAGCCTGCAAAAATGCCACAGCTGTCAATTCATTAACGTAAAAATTACAATTTTTAAAAGTGGACGTTACTACGATCACGCGAATGCTAAGTGTTTAAAGGTGCCTGCCTGCAAACCAAGCAAAGTTCAATATTAAATAACAATGCGCCGAGGAATCATGATACATCGCTATACATTCCTCTTGAAATATAGAGAACTATGGACACATAACTACATTCTGTTTCCACACGTGTATATATTCTATATGCCCACTGGCTTTCCAGACGCATGTTCAACCAACTATGGACCAGTTTACACGTTTGAGGTCTCATCAGCAGTTAGGGCTTGCAAGGCAAATGTTGCTGGGTTGTCATATGTGGCAAATGCACTCCATATAAATAATGGGGTCCATTCCAAATAAAATAAGTGTGTGTGTGTGTGTACTACTGCTCAGCAAGAAGTAAACTTTGAAGTACTTTGAAAAGAAAGCTTATCAGTAAGAGTTAACGGGCACAATTTCAGCAAAGGCATTTTAGGACTCAGACTTTTGCTATAAACATAGAAATAAAACACCCAGGGTAGTTCCTTATTAACAGAACGCTTGGCTTCATCTTATAATGCACTGATAACGCTGCATTTTCGTAAACAAACTCACAACGGGGTGTTCGCAAGGCTTGATTAATCATTAATTACACTGAAAATTGTGAGCCGCTCTATTTTGCAGTGGACACCAAAGCAACATCACTTTGCACATTTACGACACGTGCACTTAATCTTGTACACACCAGCTGTTGATAGCTTCGGTAAATACATCTTTTGTAGCAGAAATAAATTTCTGTATTTTATGTACCGTGCCAAATCTGACTCGGATGTTTTGTTTTTCCAAACATCTGGCTAGTTTATCAGTTACTCCCGCAATGTGCGGTATTTTAATCGTTTTCATTACTTGGTGCAGTTTCAATAGCAAGAGCATTGAAAGAGATGTATTACCGAAGCTATTCAAAGAAGGTGTGTACAGGATTAACTGCACGTGTGGTAAATGTTATGTTAGGCAAACAGGACGAATGATCAGCACAAGACTAAAAGAACATCAGAGGAATATTAAATTCTCCCAAATGCAACTGTCAGCAGTAGCAGAACACGCCTGCCAATAATATTGAAGTGTTGTGCAAAACGAGTGACTACTGGCCAAGACTAATTAGAGAATCTATCGAAATTGAAAGAAATCAAAATAACTTTAACCGTTGTGATAGCTACTGCCTGAGTGCTGCGTGGAAGCGAATCATCAAATAATACATTAGTTAAATGCATGCCTACAAAGGGCAGCGTACTCCAATAGGGATTACCGTTGGTAATAAACACAATGGACAGGAAGGACTGGTTCAAAGGGCCTGCATAATGCACATGCATCATGTACGTTGCCTCAGTGATCCCCCCTCCCCCATCATTGTGCAAGAGCGCAGAAGCGTGGTCACCACATCTACGCCTCTATATAAGGTAACGAGACAGTAAGACTTCTCCACAAATCTGTCTGTCGCCTGATGAAGATAGTTGTGATTACTGGCGAAACGTCGTACTCAGATTGTTAATGTTGTGGCTTGGCTATCCAACACACCGGTGTGCTGTACTAGTATACTACATTATACACTACACTATACACTACACTATACACTACACTATACACTACACTACACACTACACTATACACTACTACACACTACACTATACACTACACTATACACTACACTATACACTACGCTACACACTACACTATACACTACACTACACACTACACTACTACACACTACACTATACACTACACTATACACTACACTATACACTACACTATACACTACTATACACTACACTATACACTACACTATACACTACACTATACACTACACTATACACTACTACACACTACACTATACACTACACTATACACTACACTATACACTACACTACACTACACTATACACTACTACACTACACTATACACTACACTACACTATACACTACACTATACACTACACTATACACTACACTATACACTACACTATACACTACACACTACACTATACACTACACTATACACTACACTATACACTACTACACTATACACTACACTACACTATACACTACACTACTACACTATACACTACTACACACTACACTATACACTACACTATACAATACACTACACTATACACTACACTATACACTACACTATACACTACTACACACTACACTACACTATACACTATACAATACACTACACTATACACTACACTATACACTACACTATACACTACACACTACACTATACACTACACTATACACTACACTATACACTACTATACACTACACTATACACTACACACTACACTATACACTACACTACTATACACTACACTATACACTACTATACACTACACTACTATACACTACACTATACACTACACTATACACTACTACACACTACACTATACACTACACTATCCACTATACACTATACACTACACTATACACTAACTATACACTACACTATACACTACTACACTACACTATACACTACACTATACACTACACTATACACTACTACTACACTACACTATACACTACACACTACACTATACACTACACTATACACTACACTACTACACTACACTATACACTACACTACTATACACTACACTATACACTACTATACACTACACTATACACTACACTATACACTACACTACACACTACACTATACACTACTACACACTACACTATACACTATACAATACACTACACTATACACTACACTATACACTATACACTACACACTACACTACACTATACACTACACTATACACTACTATACACTACACTATACACTACACACTACACACTACACTATACACTACACTACTATACACTACACTATACACTACACTACACACTACACTATCCACTACACTATACACTACACTATACACTACTATACACTACACTATACACTACACTATACACTATACACTACACTATACACTACACTATACACTACACACTAAACTACCCACTACACTATACACTACACTATACACTACACTATACACTACTATACACTACACTATACACTACTATACACTACACTATACACTACACTATACACTACACTACACACTACACTATACACTACACACTACACTATACACTACACTATACACTACTACACACTACACTATACACTTACACTATACACTACACTATACACTACACTATACACTACACTATACACTACACACTAGTGCTGTACTAGTGACGAATTGGCCACGTTCTGTTTA